TTCTTTATATAGGTTTGATATGACTAAATGCGCAAGCGCAGTCCAATTTAGAACTGATTTTGAACTGAAGTCCAAACAAACCTTTTTCCTCATTATTGAATATTGACAGATTTTTCTTCCGAGTAGAGCAAAAACAGCCAAACTTCTTGTGTTTTGTGTAAAATTTGATTTTTTTTTTGAATTTAGGAAACATTTATCTGGTTTTAAAATGCACACCAACACCAAGACGAATTCTCATTCAGAACTATTTTGACATATTTTTTTTAACATAGGTAACAGGTAAACGAGGTTAACTGCCAAAGTAAACTGTGACATATTTTCTGGTGGCGTTTATTCCGCACCTGTAGTTCCGTTTCACTTCAGCGTCCCCAAGCGGATGCGATCCGAAGCTTTTTTTTTAGGCCCCGCCTTCCATTAAGCTTTTTTTTCTATCCGTGAGGATATGTGTTCTGTGACGTTTACGTTGTCAGTTGCACAGAACGTCAGTTGTCCGTCGCGTATTATCCTAACAAACCTTACCTTAAGGTAGATAATGAATTTATGTCGATTAAGGTACCTAATTTCCGGGAGTTCAGTTTAATTTAGATATTTAAAATCCTGTACAATATCTACAAAAAAATGCAACAACCACCGTAAAAATACATAAAACCACGCAAAAAATATTTAGATATCAAACCAGGAGAAAGACAAGGCGATACTATGTCACTTTCATGCTTGAAACAGGTTAGTGATAGATATTGGTTGAATATTGAGACCATTTCTTTTACAAGTACAGAGCAATTCAACGTAGAATGAAAGAAGCATAGAATCGAGTAAGGAAATAGAACTACAAGTAAAACATGATTTAAATCTCTACAGACTATAGACTGAATTTGAGAAAACTATTAATGAAATAGAAAAGAACATTCAAAAAAATTCATTGTAAATGTCTTCAGTTCAAAAAGGTCATTGCTATGAGCAGTGGAGAATTATGTGTCTACGGTCCAGTGATGATTGCATAGCTCGTTCTTCTAAAGTATAAAGTGTAAGTAACCGCTAAGTAGAAGCTAACGAGCATTAGGTAAGTAATTATTCTTCTATTTTTCATCCCCAAGACTGTATTTAATATTGTCAACTGGTCTATAAATAAAACCACTATGTATATCAAAAACCCATTAAAACTAGAACACAATTCATCAACAATCAGCAGTTTAAGCAGGTCAACGCGTAAACTAATGTTTACACGAAATGGACATAAAAACCTATGCAGCCCATGGTATCGGTACCCATTTGGGACCTTCTCTTCTCAGGGTCTCCTTACCCAAAGAAGCAGTAGCTACACTTTTCTTCATGGTTGTCTTACCCCAGAGAGTCTTGGAGCAATCCTCTTCAGGGCCGCCTTACCCCAGAGAGTCTTGCCCAGAGAGTCGTGCGGGAACCAGATGCATCCCCGTATATGTACGTAGAGCCCCAAACGTGAGGATCATGTGGCGCACCAATGTAGTGCCCCTTTGGTGATGTACCAGACAATATACGTTAAGCTCCTTTTTGTAGTTGTGTGTTGTGTTTTCCTGAAGAGCCACCCCTAACCTGAGGACGAGGTCCTACCCACTCCCACATTAGTCTCGAGGCGTGTGACAATATCACTTAATTGTTACAGGATAGAAACACCAAATCAGAGTCCTAGCAAGCAAGAAGCCTAAGAAAGTTGTCGATATTTTGCCATTTCTTAGAACTTGACAAGGAGACTTCTAAACCAGAAGTTGGACTTATAGTTGAGCACCAAGCTCAACGGACTACAAAACCAGGGAGTCCAGCTTCCAGCACTACGCCAACACCAGCCATGAAGCTTCTCCTAGGAATTCCCGCTTTACATATCTATCTGGAAAGGCAGGCCCTAAAAACAACCTACAGAATATACCACACGAACAGAGAGGATGGCAAAGGGAAAGAGGAAGCACCAAACTGCTGGAGTTTATCAAAGCACACAGTGGTTTGGGAATGCCTACGGATCCTATGCCATGAACACACACAAACAAGCACCCTATTCTACACAGTGGCCTTCCCAAGAACAGAAGAGTGGGTGCCAAAAGCAGAACTATGTCTGTTCACGAAGACAGACAGTCTAGGAAACGATGCAACCATCTTTCAAACGGAAGGGCATGCCATTGAAATGGGTGAGAGGAGGCTGTAGAATCGACTCAAACTCAAAAAATCATAAAAATTTGTTCTGATAGTCAAGCCGTTCTCAGAGCGTTGTAATTGTCTGGATCTGTCAGGAAGCTCTAATTAAATTAGGGAAGAAAAACAAGCTAACCCTAATGTGGATACCATCAGGACACCAACCTGTGAAAGAACGCTTGGTTGGAACGATGCTGGAGCTTGGCAGAACTAAGCTGAAAATCCTAATCGGCTTCTACACTGGAGAATGAGGCTAAAACACCACATGCACAGGGTTTGTCCGGCATATGATGCTAAGTGCAGGCTATACATGGAGGACAAGGAGACAGCTGCGCACATTCTTTGTGACTTCTGGACTCCATTGGGAAGATAGACATGATTGAAGAAATATAAATAGGCATGAGCCACAATAGACCAATGAGTCGCAGTGGAGGGTCGTTCGCTGAAAAAGCTATTCCCAACACCAGAATTCGGATCCCCGCTATAACATGCATGTTTTGTGGTTGCCAAACAAAGTGCCAATAGACCAATAATGTGGAAATATTTCTTTAAAATGCAATTACCAGTATTCTACCGTTGTTAAAATTCGCTCGTTCATCATGTGGCCGTAAATAATACTTCAATACAATCAAGCTTTGAGCACATTAAACAAAGAAAAAAAATTATATATCTAATTACAATAAGTAATAAAAATAATTACTACGATTTGCGATTGTAATTTATTTAGTTCTGTGACCGAGATCTCCAGTCGCTACTAGGCCATTAGTAAATGAGTGAACGCGCATTATTATATTGGAACTACTATAAAAATAATTGATGGAGGTTAGGGCGATTAAATTTAACGGTATTTTATAATCGAAAGCTTTTGATTTAAAGCAAATCGATATTGAAGGATCGCTCAATTGATATGGGAGAAGATTTATTGGCACTAGGATACTTAAATAGCCTTTGATTAGTTTGAAAGCTACACCAACTACTTACAGATAATAGTTGAGAAATGATATGAGATTAAATACTTATTTGCGTTTGTATTACAACAATCAAGAAATACCTAACATCAGATTTATTTTTAAATGCACCTTATTAGTCTACTATCAACAGCTTTCTACATTATATTTTCTCCACACAACAAAACAAAATTATCTTCTACACATCTAGTTAACACTTAAAAGATTTATCTTTGCGTTTATCCAATTACTGCCTGATTGCAAACTACATCCGTTTTTTACTAGAGAAGATAAATCTCGGCGATTACGTAAAGGCAAATCGATTCAAATCAGGTTAGGTTATGGGTGTATAGTGATTTAACTACCCTTTTACTTTTATAATCACAATCATCAATATTTATTGGTTTTATACATAACGATTACGTGAATAGTTATAAGATAGAGTAGTTAAAATGAAATTGAAATCTGGGACCAAGTAATACTTCCTCTTAAAATGTGTGTTACCCTATAGTTCCAAGCCTGAGCGGATCATACAGTGAGCACGTAAAGGTTGGAATAAAATCTATAAAATATACAGGGTGTATATTTTTCAAAAAACCTCGGACACGTCAATTTTTGATTTTATTGGCCGTTTTTATGATGATAATACCATATATACAGGGTGACCCGAAAACAAGTTATGACAGCTAACAGCTAAAATGAAAACACCAATTTTTTATTTAATTTTCAAATTCTACGTTAAATTCTGAACACATTTCATGTATCATGGCCTATACCTATCTTCAACTGTTTCGGAAATATTCACAGTTGAAAATTGACTTTTTTGCAACTTTGACAGGCTGTAGAATCTAATCGGTTAATTTTAGGGGAAAACCGATTTTACATTCCTATCTCAGATTTTTATAAACTATCATCTGATACTAACTTTGAATTTAATCCATGATTAAAAATTCCAATTAAATTTAATCTCCGGTTAAAGAGAGAGTATCAAATGATAGTTTATAAAAATCTGAGATGGGAATGTAAAATCGGTTTTGCTCTAAAATTAACCGTTTAGGTTCTACAGCCTGTCAAAGTTGCAAAAAAGTCAATTTTCAACTGTCATAATTTCCAAAACAGTTGAAGATGTACAGGACATGATACATGAAATAGGTTCAAAATTCAACGTAGAATTTGAAAATGAAATAAAAAATTGGTGTTTTCAATTAAAAAAATAAAGTTAGCTGTCATAACTTGTTTTTGAGTCACCCTGTATACATGGTACTATCATCAAAAAAACAGGCACTAAAATCAAAAATTGACGTGTCCGAGTTTTTTTAAAAAAATATCCACCCTGTATATTTTACAGATTTTATTCCAACCTTTACGTGCTCACTGTATAATAGTATTATTGGATAATCTTTTCAAAATAAAAATATATCTTGCATATATGCTCAAAAAAATGGTGGTAAGTTTTTTAGACAAATCACTCATAGGTGACCTTGGCATTAATTTTTGAAATAAGCTCTTCAATTATTTTGCAACAGTTGTCTGTTAGATTTGGCTTTGACGTCCTACTTTTCACAAGAGCGTGGTTCCTCTGCAACTATCATTATCAAAAGAAGATAGTTAACATAATTTTAACATTAATCAAATAATTAGATTTGCAATCTAATTATCTAATCGTCGCCTTAAGATAAAAGGCAATCTTTCGATTAAAACACAGCCTGCAGTTTTCTTAAATCACAAAACGACTTTGAAACACGCATTTGAAAGTAAATCCAGCGCAACACAACACTTAATCACATGCATGGCAATTTTTTTCTTTTCCTTATTTGACTTTGTTTGTACCTAGATTTAGGCTCAACCCTGACTCAAATTACGATATAAGTACAGCGGGTAAATATTACTTACTTGAGTATATTTCCAGCTTCTTTGCTCCTGTAAATATCACATTTATGAAGCTGATGTGTATAATCTCCGGGAATGTACTGGCCAGCTGCCTGACAGAGGGCTCGATAGATTTGGAATTGCAGTATAGTGCTTACGAAGTATCTGCAACAATTGCACAACTATTAATTAAAATAACAATTTTAAATGAAAAAAACATCGTTAATTGTAATATAACGAGCTACAATAATAATATGTTGTTAGTAAATATCCTTCTAAATGCCTGACACAAAATGTTATTACATGAGTTTCAACGGGTTCATTTATAATTTACAGTGTGTTGAATTTTGTTGGAAATAAAGTTCGAAATATTTATTCTTATCACACCTTCAGCTCATTGTTTATCTATATGCGTCATTAATATGTCAGGTGACAGTTTCATTGTTATAAGGTCTGTTCGCAGAGAAATCACAAACCAGTCAGAGCGAATTTCATTGGTTGAAACTAGTTTTCTGACTGTTTCTGATTGTTTTCAACCAATGAAGTTCGCTCTGACTGGTTTGTGATTGCTGTGCGAACAGCCCTATTATTGCTAGTAGGTATTGTTATTAGAAAATGATTAGTTGCCTAGTTGCCTCTTTATAGTTCTTCAATTGTTAATTAAAAAATACGAATATTGTTTAGACCATACCCCGCGATCTTCAAATGTACCACTTGGTTCGATGATAAAGTTGTTTCATGCCCGGTAGAGGCGCTATCAATTGATTTGCGTACGCGTTGTTGATTGTATCTCCAAGGTATCTCCGCTTCAGAAGAAGGTTGACGTGATTACTAATTAAATTATGACATGAACTGACATAAATTCATGAAATGACAAATGATGACAAAACGTTGTGCTTCTTTGTTGCTTTAATATTTCTGTTCGTTGAAAAAGTGTTTCGTAGTGATAGAGCATATCTGTGTGTATTTGTGAACTTTCACAGTGTTATTTTTAGTGTAAAGACTATTATTGTTATTTAATTCTGTGTTGTTAAGTGTTGACTTTGTTGACAAGTTTCGAAAAGCCAACATAATTTTCTTATTTCTTTGTAGTAAACCGTTATTTGTTAAATTTGTATCAAATTGTGTCTTTATTATAAAATAAATAAAAAGCTAATCTAAAAAAAATAAGAAGCAAACTGCTCTACAAGCTGCTACAATGGGATGAGCTCATTTCATAGACAACAGATGGCGCCACAAATGGTTATCCGACCCGTAAAATGGGACTGTCCATTCTATACCCACTATAAACCTTATTCTATGGTTTAGACCAATGACATATTAACACAGATAGACATTACATTAAACAAGATTTTGTGTCGCCAACATCTATAGTCTGGCAAGTGGTAACTTGGTAGAGACGAAAGGGGGAAGAAAACTGGGGCGTTACCTAAAAATATTCACCGACACCTCAACTGACACCGTCTGATGATAGCCATGTCTTTGAGTTCAGTGGCACCGAAAACACCAAGAACATAAACCAATAAAATTATTAGAAAAAAGATTTTCTAGTTTCGCCAATAACCACGCCACTGCGTGCTGTCGTTCATGCTCTAACCAATAGAATCTTGTTTCTGAATAATCACGCCTCTCCGCTTCCATCATTTCGCAATGTTGCCTGATTTTTTCCTATTTCAAAATATTACACATGCCCATATAGCAAAAAAAAATATGTCACCAACTTCTTTATTATTTTGTTTCTAATTTCCGTCAAGTTTGACAGAGCAGCAAATTCTTTTGCAGTTCGCCGTTTCGCTAGCCAGACAATAGAAGAGCAATCTGCCGCCGGTGTATCCCCTCCAATTTGGTTGCCAAATTGTTACGGATTGATATTTTATCCTGTTATGACTTTGCTTCAAAAATTTTGGAGCTTCAAGACTAAAAACGATTACTGACAACGCCGGTTTTGTAAGACAGGCGAAACGCACGCTGCAATCGATTGGTATGTCAACGCGCCCATCAAACTCACATCATATGAGTTAGAGGCAGACAGATAGATGAACGATTTGCACTGGTGCGCATTTCTTCATTATTTTGGTCAAGTGAATGACGAGTTCAGAGGGGAATACGAGTATTGTTTACACCCATGACGCATCCCTACCATGACCCCTCTTGAGCAGCTCACCTCTCCTGACCCATGGGAAGTCTTGTCATTACAACAAACATCAGTTTACGAATGAGATGCGGTATCTTTCAGTCTATCTGTGTTAAGATGTCATTGGTTTAGACCATAGTTTTACATTACAAGAAAAACCACACGTTCTAATAAATTTTAGTGACAGACGATAGTTTTTACGTTAAGAATAGTATACATCATTAGCATTATGAATGATCTGTTGACTGTATATTCAAAGTTGGCTATAAGAAGCCCTTTCTCAGGCTCATTCCTCGTCGATTCAGTTCTGGGTTTTCTGGCGTTGTGCCGACTTTAAAAGGATGGATTTTGCTTTGTTTAGTAATTCGTCATCATAATTCATGACTCCAACAATAAATCTCCAGCCTGGAACTCTAGTAACCGGAACGAAATTCCTACAGTGCTGGACATACCTACCAATTTTGAAAAATGTCGAGGAAGACTTTGTAAAAGACTACAAAAGAACATACATCGCATCACAATACGGTACAGCTGAAAATTGGGGCAACCCATCGACAAGAGGATAATCAGCTTATAAGCCAAGAAGGCCAAACTGCGAACTTTCCAGCCATGGTTACCGAGAAGAGTAGACTTGAAATTTGGAAGGGTAAATGGAATTGAAGTACTCAAATAAGCCATGGCAACAGAAGATCCAAGAACTGTGCCTTATTAACACTCTATGTTTGATCAGGCCGGCAGCTTAGAGTTATGACGTCACAATCGAAGGCCGGCTAGTACACTGTTGTATACTTGCGTATGCAAGTATTTTTTTATATTTTTGGGTAATTGTGTGGATTTCAAAGTATTGTAGTTAGATGAAAGGATAAGATTAAATGAAATATCAAATTTTTAATGATTATAATTGAATATAAATGAAAAACGTAACGTAAAATACTTGAATATGTAATAATACAACAAAAATTAAATTCTGAAATAAAACAAACAATTTTAGTTGGTAGCTATTCTAAATAATTATTCACTTATTGCTAGACAGCTTTTTTACTTTTCTTCGGCTCTTTTAATGTAGAAATCTGATCGTTTTGGACTTTTCTGTAGTTAAAAAGGAGTATATTATTTGCAAATGTATGAAGAGCTTGTTTAGAATGGTCCAAAACTCCAAAGTCGATTTTCCACAATAACAAACATTTTCAATTAGGATGGATTTGTTTTTAAGATATAGGTATAAGGAAATTCTAATTATTAATGTCGACCTTTGGGGTTTTTCATTCAAAAATTTTGTCTCATAGTCTTTGCTGATCAATATTTGGAAAATAGCAAAAGTGTTATCACAATTTATACAAAGTAATCTTTGGGGTATTTTAGTCCTCCCCGATCTATGAAAGAAAAACACCTAAAAACAGAGTCTTCAATGTATTCTAATTCAATTGTCTTGTTATAAAAGAGCGTCGATTTGCAAACTGAGCATTCCGTTTTTGCCGCTATCTTATGAAGTATACAGGGTGTCAATTTGAAAACTTCCCACCCCTATTATCTCGGAGTAGAAAAATTTTCGAAAAAATCCCTAAAACACGTCGACTATAATTTAAAGGGAGATGAGTTTTTATGCAAAATTAACCTCCCCTCTTTCAACCCCCCAGTTCCTAGAGCCACCCCCTAGAAAATCTTAAATGGAAAGAGGGGTCAAGTGATACATCATTTTGCAGGGTTTTTGATTCCATACATATTACCCCCCAGCCCCCAGAGCCACCCCCTAGAAAATCTTAAATGGGAAGAGGGGTCAAGTGATACATCATTTTGCAGGGTTTTTGATTCCATACATATTGGTACCAAATTTCAATACCTGAGTTCAACTGTTTTGGAAATATCGACAATTGAAAATTGACTTTTTTGCAACTTTAACAGGCTGTGAAACCTAAACGGTAAATTTTAGATAAAAACCGATCCGACATTCTTGTCTTAGATTTTCATAAGCTATCATTTGACACTAAATTTGAATTTAATCCATGATCAAAAATTCCGGTTAAAAATTTAATCTCCGGTTAAATTCAAAGTTGGTGTCAAATGATAGCTTATGAAAATCTAAGAATGTAAGATCGGTTTTTCTCTAAAATTTACCGTTTAGGTTTTACAGCCTGTTAAATTTGCAAAAAAGTCAATTTTCAACTGTCAATATTTCCAAAACAGTTGAACTCAGGTATTGAAATTTGGTACCAATATGTATGGAATCAAAAACCCTGCAAAATGATGTATCACTTGACCCCTCTTCCCATTTAAGATTTTCTAGGGGGTGGCTCTGGGGGCTGGGGGGTTGAAAGAGGGGAGGTTTATTTTGCATAAAAACTCATCCCCCTTCAAATTATAGTCGACGTGTTTTAGGGATTTTTTTGCAAATTTTTCTACTCTGAGATAATAGGGGTGGAAAGTTTTCAAATTGACACCCTGTATAGCCTAGCCTGTGAAGAAAATTAATGTTAGATTATCATTTTCGTTTAGTTGATACTCATCTACGTTTTTTTACCCTTATCTACTTTATTAAAGAATTTTTGAACATCTACTTAACAGGAAACGCAAAATTATTCAATATTATTTCAAAAGATAGTCGTTATGTATGCATGGTCTCTGCACCGTATACGCCGTATTCTATGCATTGAAACTCGGCCTGAATTTGTGACGCATTGTAAGAAAAGTGGGGATGGCTGCTGGCCTGATAGATATCCCGAGCGCCTCGATATTGCTCTATCCATGAGCTGTTAAGTTCGTCAAAGACTTGCAAGCCAGAAGCCATCAGTTTCGGATGCAATTTCCGAAAAATGATTGAGAAGATGCCTAGAAAGGCTGCAATGGGCTTGACTAACATGACCAACTCCATTTTGAGACTACCACCCCATTTCTCTGCCTTTTTCTGAGCAAGGTGCCAGAGAGAGCTATCAAGTTCAAGCTAAAAGCAGAAAACATTAGTATTCCACAGGCACAGGTGTTTTTTCGAGGGACGAGAGAATGAGTTGGCTCCTTTTCACTAGCACCTCTGAGA